ACCACGTAATCATGAAGCAAAGGAAGGCACTCAGCCTCAATGACCTCCATTGGGCAAAACAACGCCAGAATAACTGGACTTGAAGCCAGAATAGGTTTGCACGTACGTATGAGCAGCCCTTTTTCGATTCCACCTTGACAAAATCGCTAATTCATTCAATTTTTCGCTCAAATCAACTTAATCCTTTTCGCTGCCCATTCCTACTTCAATACGGCCTTGCATTTGATTGCCCTAGAAAGCAGTTGCGCCTCCTTTCTCACGACTCCATCGACGCAGTAAAAAGACAAGAGAAAACTGCGCATATCGTGTAATATTGCAAAGATAGTCCACAGTCACAAGGGTAAAGGCAAGGCAACTCGTTGCAAATGCACTGAAACGGAGAAATCACAAACATTTTTCCCACCTCCTTTACAACTTGCAACTTGCAAAAGCTGCTGCCTGGGGAAATCCCTCTCGGACGTCGACCGTGCAATTAATAGCTGACACGAAGCACAAACATGCAAACAACTGAAGTGATCCACTTGGATGCGATTGAGGTCTTGTCGCATCAACAAGGCACAGCCACCATTGTGGCCTTGTAGGGGAAAGAGAGGCGCAAATTTTATCTCAAACGCCCCGCTGGTGGATCAGCTTTGATACTAATCTAGCGTATCTTTTTCCTTTTAATTGTGCCTCTCCTCGAACGCCTCCTCATTCCAAGGTGTGACTGAGAGGGGAGACGTGGAAGAGAGAGGGAAAGTCGCTACCAACATGACTTTCATTGGACTGAGAAAACTCCAACTCTCATACGGCAGTAGCAGTGCCCATTTTAACATGGTTTCAACATTTACAATCAAACTGCTATGGCTGGCATCACGCAAGCACAAGCCTTACGAATTGAAGTGACGCCATCGCTTGAAATAGTCTTTCAGTCCAACACTCGTGTCCAACTCTCTGACGCGGAATGGCGTCACCCTGACGCAAGCGTAAGATCTTCTCGCCTAGCCCTGCATGCAGTGGTACCACAACAACATTCTCCACTTCCCTTCCTTCTCTTCTCCCTCTCCCCATATCGAAATGATTGTCTCAAGTATGCAGTGCTTACTGAGTTGGAGTTGTTTGTGGCCACTACACGGCGTAATCGAATCTGTAGCAGCATCGAAACGCAAGTTCGTACCATTAAATACCTTGATTTGAGTGTACGCTGTTACTAAATCCTCCTCATCCTCTTCCTCCTCCTCTACGTCCTCCTCGTCCTCCCTCTTCGAATGCCTCACTGATATGGTGACCAACTCGATGGCATCAAAGTGGACCAAATGTGCTTCTCATGAGCCATGCTGACCACGCATTTTGGATGACTTTTCTTATTTGTTTCGATTTTAACCTGGTGACGTGATGTTCTGCCTGCAAAGTAGTCGTCACCTCTGGTGCGAACAGTACGCGTGGAGAAGAGTTGGCGGAGGATAAACACCGTGCAGCACTGCTTGAGTGAGTTGATGTTGGATCATAACTTGGGCTGGCGTGTATTCACCACGACGGTATAAGTGTTGCATCACACACTCTCCTTCACAACGTTTTTCAGTAGGTCACGCAGATGTTGCAGCCACATTTCGGCCACTACTGTTCTGGTACCATTAGCGGTGTGTCGGATCGGACAGGGCGCCTTCTTGCTTTCTCGTTGAATATGTGGGTGGCGTCGGCTACATTTGCCGTGAATAATGTGGTGTGAGTTGCACGATCTGGCGACCACAATTCCACATCCGCGTGCACTAATGCAAACGCCTTCTTTTCGTCTCTGCCTGCTAGCCGATGCCAGCACTACTAAAGCGTGAGTATCCACACAAAGCCAAAGCAAAAAAGCACACTGTTCTATCCAATACACCGCGAGGGGCATCAGCTCAGTGGTGGTCAAATGATGACTGCAGCAGCTGTAGGCAATAGACTGTTCACCATTCAGCAGGCGCTTCTACACGAAGTACACCAGCATAGCCTTGGGGCATGGAGGGTGTCGATTCAGCATTTATGCAACGCAGATCACCTCATTCAAGAAGTGCTGCACGGTGTTTATTCTTGCGTCAACTCTTCGCCTTGCGAGATGCTTGCACCTAAGATGAGGACTACTTTGCAATCACAACGTCAGGGCACCATGTCGTCCTTAATGCAAATCTTCAGCTGCCAACTCCCTCCTCCTCCTCCTCCTCCTCCTCCTTTTCCTCCTCCTTCTGCTGCTCCTCCCAGTTCTACTACTGCTTACTCCATCCACGCATCCGTCCGTTTTATCGAAACACAATTGCGAAGGCAAGGGCCTCTTCTAGTCACAACCTGCATGCACGCATAGGCAGTGGGTGCTGGTTTTGTGTCTCGACATCTCTCTGTTTGCATTCCGAAGTAGCTTTGGAGTGGAGAGGCAGCTGCAAACTACTTTCAACGCTTAACTGCTAAATTTGATAGGTTGTGCGAATTGCAAATGGCAGACCAAATTCATCCGCATTGCAGACTGAGCGCATAAAATGGACTCACCACATGCGAGTGAGCTTTTAGAGTTGATTGTAAGATTATACGAGGAGGACATGAAGATAAAGGAGTTGAATGCTTCTGCATACCTTAGTGCTTAGCTGCAGAAATGCAATTGTTTAGAAGAAAAATGTAAGGACGAGCATTAAAAAACGCACTACCATGCATGTGTGCGAGGCAACAACAACAGCAACAACAACCTCAATCTCCACAACATCCACTCTTCCAAGACGCAACAACCAAAGGCACCTTCTAATGATCGCTGTTGCTGCAGTGGTCACCCTTCTATAGCACTGCGTGCAAGGACAGGAGAGAGGCAGATGTCGATGGGTCCTCAACCTTGTCGCCACCATCTGCACCACCAACCACACAGATACACACTTTCGGTTATGCACCGATTAAACAATGCACAACATCAAGGCCGCTGGCAGAAGGATGAGATGTAAGCGCGCTCCGCCCCTGCAATCGTCAGTGGCAAAGTTGGAGCACATTGATGATCCGCTGGCACACTCACATATACTGAAGGTCTCAGTGTCAGCATTCGGGAATGAGGACACTTGCCACCCTCCACAATGCCGTCGGAACACTTATGTTGCAATCCTTGGGTCAACCGTCCTGACCAGATTGCTCACAGCTCTCAGGCTCCACCAACAGACACGTTGCTTCCCTCCACCACAAGTCTTCATCTCAAGGCCTCTCCTCACACAGGCATAAGTAAAAGCGAACTCCAAATAGTAAGTAGGTAAGGATA